GTGGCAGAGAAATCAAAATTAAATTTCTTAAAATTTTGATTTTTATAATAAAGAATCCTGATCAAAATGCTTGAGACATGGATATGATCAGTACTGTATAGATATACATAACATAAATAAAAATCAAGAAAATCAAATGATAAATAAAAAATTTCAAGTCGGTATCCTTAAGAGAAAAGAATTTTGTACCATTGCATATGTGGATATGCATTCTGATGACATTATTATTTACCTATGAGGTATATACATAGTACTGTATTGTATATGAAGGGTACATGTATATATAAGTACAGATTATTACAATAACGTACCTTTCCTAATTATTGAAAAACAAATAAACAATGTTGTATCATGAATTTGTCAGTATTTGCTGACAAACAAAGTAATGTATACTACTGTACTACTATAATGTATATACTGTACTCACCAGCAGACACTTCACTCTGGTGACTGTAATGCTGAACTGTAATCACGTCTTAACACTTGCTGTGGAGGTTGGGTGGGAGATTAGTGGGTCATGTTACTAACCTGACCTGATGCAATATCTGGTCACCCATTGTTGGGTGGGGGATTAGTGTGTTTTATGACCTGAAGATGTCTTGGATAAAGATGAAAAGTAAGGTGCTCCAGTGTTTCCCACTTACTGAATGTACAATACAGTATTATGTCAATGTAATCACTTTACGTTCTTAATACTGAATTCTTGGCTGGTTTTGTTCTGGTACAGTAGGGTCGGGATATGTCGCGAGATAGGGTCCAAGGATGTTCGTTATATACTAAATCAATGGGGACAATAGGGTTAGGTTCTGGAGGCCAATAAAAGTGACTAAACTTGACAAAATGGCACTCTTAAGTTAGCAGAATATAACTTGCATTGCTAGAATCCTTGCAAGACTGCAAATAATTTGAATATACTCATATATTTTGCACGAGATAAAATTTTTAGTCATTTGTACTAAAATGTACTAAATTATTACTGAAATTTTTGTTTTTTGCCAACTATAACATGTTTATATTTAAATTCATCACTATCTTACAAGAATTCCAGCAATATAAGTTATATTAAGTCAATTCATTGACATTTATAAGAGAAAACATAGACTCCCTGTATATGACAGATAAATAAATACCACACTAGGTAACCGTTGTCTGGCTGGCCCAGCTGTCATAATAAATCAACTCCTCTCCGACTTCCAGTAAGGGTGACTGTGGTTTTTGTAATAAAATGTCAGACTAAAGTTAGTAAAATATAAATTACTTTGCTGGAATTCTTGCTGTACAACAACAAACACTGTATTCTAAACCAGTAAATAAAAGCCAAGTAAAAGTTTAACACAGTTGCCATTGCATACACTCCCTGCTTAATTACAGTAACAAAGACCAACTGGGAGGTACCTCCTACGTCTCCCTAGCAACGCTCCCCCCTCTCCTACCCTCCCTCACTGAGCCAGCTAACACCTCACAACTTGGCCCTTTAGCCTGGTGGTTACAGTGATAAGTCTGACCAAGCTACAATGCCATGATTAATTACTATTAAACATTATTCTATCAGTAAACACTAATAATAACAGTAAATCCAGTGAAATATGGCAGGGAGTGAGTTACAACTGCAGACAACACTTAACTAGGGGTCATTCACTCCCCTTACCCGCTCCTGTCGCCAAGTGTACATATGGGAGAAATACATATCGTGTAAGTAGTCTAATTTGAAAATGGCAACAGGCTCACTGATAAACAAATTATGTAAACCATGCAGTTTCCTACAATATCAAAATAAACATTGTATCATTACTAGAGAGAATGAATTAATATACCCACAAACAACAATTAACAACTCTGTTTATGTACCTTTAGGTTTTGTTTTTATCTTCAATATTTTGATGTTACAATTATTTTTGTCTCAGCTTAGTACAGGAACACATCCCCCTTATTACATTAATTTATATGGGAAAGATGGTTGAGATGAAGATAATCCACCTAACGAAATTGTTTTAGTGGAATCTAACCCTTTTGTTCAACGGGTACTTGCTGTACAGTACTCGAGTACATTTAGTTACTTTACAACTGTGCAGATAACTCACTAAATGTCTGTCTGTCGGGTGTGGAGTGGTGGTGTTAACCTCTTGGCTGGCTAGGTTCATGAGCTTTGTGGTTGGGTCGCGTGTGCACAATTACCCTGCTTACAAATATTTACAGCACATGATACACCTGGAATTTTGGTATTTATAATAAATACAAGCATGTAATATTTTCAAGGTTGTATGTTTTTAATTACCAAATTTCAATAGCTTCATCAAGTGCCATAAATAATTACGTATAAGCAAAGTAAGTTCCTTCTATCACAGTCCGTGCAGCTGGCCACCCACTGTCAGGTTGCCACATTTTTTATTTAACTTTTATTGTACAGTATTACCTAATTAACTCAATAAAATAGTCCAATTAAAAACTTAATAAATTACAGTATAGTCTTCATTTACGCGGTCAATTGAACCCGTGGAAGTCCGCGTAAAACGAGAAACGCGTAAACGAAATAACAGAACATATGGGATTAATAATAGAGACTGGGCCAACCCCCAAACTACACTTTTTCAGACACAATAGTACGTTGTAGTAAAAATAACATCTTAATTTTATGATGGTATGCACACACAATATTTAAGAGAAATATAAAAAATATTAGGTTTTATAACACTTACGTTTAGTAGAAAAGATGGCTGGGCACACGGGGATGGGGTGGGTTGGTTCCGAGGCAGAGGGCAGATTATTGGCCCTCACCTGTATCACTTGTATCAATTGTATCACTATCCACCACAGAGGCTTGCAGGGCCTTTTTGTCAAACCCCTCAAAGTCCATATCCTCACTATCACTGACTTGGGCTGGCTGTGGCGGGTGAAGAACTCGGTAATGTTTTGTTGACTGGGCGACCTTGTGCGCACCTTGCCCGCGCTGCTTCCCGCGTAAATGATGGAATGAAATGTGTAAATAAAAATTGTCGGTCTGGCAAGGTGCCGCGTAAACCAAATCCGCGTAAATCGAGACTACTGTATAATGACACGTGGGACACAAATTTTTAGTTTAGAAAGATAAATTTATTGAGATATATATGTTTTCACATATGGTTCATCATGTTTTGTTAATGAGTGTCAGTGGTACAGCGGCAACATGCATAACTTGCACCAATATGTCGAGGGTTCAAGCCGCCTCCTGGACACATGTGAGAAGAGTGTTATCCAGTGTGACTCTACTAAACATGACAAGTTTCCTGGTTACAATAAGTCAATTATTATAGGAATGTATTTTGAAATAGATTAAGATGAATGAATTATATTAAAATACAGTACTATACTAAGTTTGGGTGTGTAGCCCAGAGTGACAATCTTGATAGTGTTATTGATAACACTGCATACAACACACACACACACACACACACACCTCTGATTAGTCCGAATTAACGAGGGTCAACTGTGTGTGTGTGTGTATATATACAGTGGGGTATGCTATAACGAACGGATCCTACTACGAATATTCCTATAACGAACGGTTTTACCTATAAAATTGAGAATGCTATAACGAACGCAACTCCTACAACGAACGCGGATGAATACGGGACTATTTCGCCTGGCGCATGAATATTGTTGTACCGCGACCCACAACAAGAGCATCAGGCGCCATCTTTGTCTCATTGTGTAGCCAGTGCACCACTGTTATTGTTGAAATTTCGTCTTTTGATGTGGAAATTCGCGTTATTTGTATAACTATTTTGTTATACAAGTATACAATTGTAACAATGAGTCGTCCAAAGCGAGTGAGAAAGCTAATAACCCTTGAAACTAAGAAAGAAATTATAAAGAAACGTGAGAATGGAAGAAGCATTGCGAAACTTAGTGATGAATATGGGATGGCTAAATCGACTATATGTACGATTTTGAAGAATAAAGAGGAGTTAAAAACTGTGCAAGTGGCTAAGGGAATCTTTAGACTTTACAAAGCAAGGTGTAATGTGATCGAAGAGATGGAAAATTTACTCTTAGTGTGGATAAAGGAGAAAGAAATGGCAGGTGGTAACATTAGTGAAGCTATAATTTGTGAGAAGGCTAAACAATTGTTTGAGGACCTTAAAGCCAAGACTCCCAGTGGAAGTAATAGTGATGTGCCAGTGTTTAGGGGTACCTGCATGCTGAATATCACTAAGGTAAGATAAAGTACCGTATTTTTTACATTTTCCACAGAATTTTTTCAGTGTTAAGCGGTTGTATTTGGGGGCCTGGAACGGATTAATCCTATAACGAACGAGGTTCTGGAACCAATTACGTTCATTATAGCATACCCCACTGTATAGTGATAAACAATATAGAACAATGAAAATAATGGAAAAAATGGTAATTTAATAAAAAAAAAATTGCAATGAATCGTGAATGTATTGGAATTCTGTTCTTAGGTGCGGATGTTCGTAAGTCGGTCGGTCATAACTCGGACTGCCTGTTTGTGTGTGTGTGTGTGGTTTGATTCATGCTTTATTCATTCAGGTGGAAAGAGAAAAGAATGGTGTGCAGTAGCAATAAAATGTTATGGTATTTTAAATTACGCTATCCTAAATTATAAAATAACAGAAATTACTAATTGTGAGTTATACAGTATTTCAATAGTACCTCAAACAAGTATCTGTCAGGATGAGTTCGATGGAAATGCTACATGAAACCCATGAGGGTTGGTATGGTAACTGAGCATCATAGTAATTACACTGAAATAAATACACATTGCATTATTTAAGTTAAACTGTTACAGTACCAAAGTAACTGCATGTCCCAATATCTATCATTCGTGGTCTTGTTTCACACAATGGTGAACAGGTATTTTTTTGAGATACTATTTAGCAATATACACATTTCATATACTGTACTGTATTGTACATATTCTGTTATAGTTTAACACTAATGCTGATTTTTTCTAGGGTTCATAGGTTAAATGTAATATTTATTTATTTATTTTTGCTTTACAGGGGCAGCTCGGTATGGTAGTGAGGGTGTTATCAGGCAGGAGGGCAGAGATCCACACACCAATGGGCGGCCCTCGCCACTCACATACATCCAGCTATAGTCATGGATTCTGAGGGTTCATTGTGTAGATGACTTGAGCCCATGTTGGAAGAGTGCCATATGTTTGGAGTTAAATGTGCCACATAAATAAATTCCAGTTTAGTAGTATGAGTGGTAAAACTTGCCATTGAATGACATCAGTTCCATTTTGGGAGTTTTCCATTTTAACCTTTGTCAAGCCATGTCAGTGGTGGTATGATCTGGGATAATGTGGTTCTGGTATGATTTTGATGTGGACTGCTGTTGTGGTTGTATCTCTTGAAATCAGCCTTATTGAATAGTTGATCTCTTGCTCAGAATTACTGGTCATGTAACTTGTCAGGAGAGTAACGAGCTTTTCTAAACTGTTATATAGATTATGAATCAAATATAATTATCTTTGATGTTTTGTAAAGATGGTTTATGGCCTACAAATAAGAGTAGATTCACATTACTCTTTTATATAATCATCCTCATGGCTTAAAAAATTATAGATATAGAAATTAGTAAATTGGCACCCTTCCAGTGTGGGCACAGTATATTGAAGCAGGTACGTAGTAGAAACAGTATGCCTCCTTCGCGACGACAAACAGTACACAAACATTGTGAGAGAACGACCATCCCCTTTATTGCCTACTAATGACTTTCGAGCAATGTACCATCGTCATCACAACTCCACCACTTTAAAAGCCCACCACAATAAACCTCTCC